ATCGATGTTTCTCTCTCATGGATGTTTCCAACTCTCTATCCCTCTCCCTTCCTCTCTGTAAAAAAATCAATAAAATATATTTTAAAAAAATAATAAATAAATAAAATTAAATAGGCCAAACCTTCCTCTAAAATATGAAGTTCATGTTTTAATTTTTTAACATGAAGTAATATTGCATAAAAGTAATTGACTATTCTAAATTTACTCTCTAAATGCCTATTCATTAATTCTTAATTTCCAGAACGTGTCATTGCTCTAGAGCAGGGGTCAGCAAATATGTCCTGTAAATATTTTTTACTTTGTGGGCCATACATAGACTCTTTGTCTTAACTATTAACCTCCACCATTGTGGGGGAAAATCACAGCCATGTTCATTCCTACACAAATGAATGGGCGTGCTATGTTTCAATAAAACTTTACTACAGAAATAGGCAGCTAACTGGGTTTGGCCACAGGCAGTAGATTGTAGCCCTTGTTCTAGACCAGTGATTTGGAATCACTTTTTCAAAGGTCTACAGATACTCTGAAGCATGTCCTCAGCTGAGATCACTGCACTGAAACATTTCAGTATTTCAACAACTTTTTTTTTTAAGATAAATACCTTTTCTGTTGGTCTTAGCTGTGGGTGGATATTATGGAGCATGAAGCTAGTAAGCTGAGTGGACATGTTTAAACCGGAAATTTTGACAGTTATATAAATCAAAATAGAAGAAACATAGCATTAACTTTATTGGAAAGTACACATTATAAGTGTACAGCTGGATAGATTTTTGCACATGGAACATGCTCCTGAAACTCAGTGCCCAGTAGACCTCTTCAAGAAACCATGATTAGATTTTCACACATTTAAATTCTTCAAATTGGCTGCCACATTTCCAAATAGGGAGCATGATGTTAACATATCTGCTTCCTCTGTTAGGGACAGGTGCCTGGTGCTGCTCTTCCTAACCCTCTGAACATGCTTGGGTCCCAGCTGCCTTGTCCACCAGTGACACAATCACCTTTGCACCAGACACCACCTCCTGCTTCCACAGCCGCTGGCCTGCCGTCTCTACAGCATCCAACAGCACCTGTGATGACTCCTCCCCCGCCAGCAGCTCCCACTCAGCCATCGACTCCTGTGTCGTCTTCCGGGCAGACTCCTACCCCAACTCCTGGCTCAGTGCCCAGTGCTAGTCAAGCACAGAGCACTCCTACAGTCCAGGCAGCAGCCCAGGTGACCCCGCAGCCTCAGACCCCAGTTCAGCCCCCATCTGTGGCCACCCCTCAGTCATCACAGCAACAGCCAACACCTGTGCACACCCAGCCTCCTGGCACACCGGTGAGCCTCTCTGTTGCCTTTGTTCTGAGACTCTTAATGAGAACTTTCCCATAAATCTGTCGTGATGACCCTGGCCATGTAGGGTAGCTTAGTTGGTTAAAGTATCGTCCCTGTACGCCAAGGTTGTGGGTTCTATTTCCAGTAAGGGCATATACAAAAACAACAACCAATGAATCCATAAATAAGTGGAACAAAAAATCGATGTCTCTCTCTTTTACTTCCCCCTCTATCTCTCCCTCTCTCCCTTCCTTCCCTCCTCCCTCTCCCCCCCCTCTCAAGTTAGTAAATAATTTTTTTTTAAAAATTCTGCCATGAAGTTGCTGTAGAATCTTGGCGCCACCCCAAAAAGTAACTGAAAGGCTGTGTTTGGCAGGACATGATTTATTATCATTCCTACTTAAATGAGTTTGCAAAAATCAGCAATTCTAAAGAAATAATACATGAGTCCTCTGTCGAATTTTTAAACTACCTCTGTTTATAAGAGCAGTATGTTTCCCATTATCTGTCCTAGATTTATGTCTTCTGAGTTTTGGTAGTTTTTCTCCTAACATTTAAGGATGGTCATGTGCTTGATTGTATGTGCTTTGACCTTGCCTATCAGCCTTGTCTTCAGACTGGAAGCCTTTTCTTTTTTATGACAACTTGGCAGATCCAGGTTAGTACTTCCTGTGGCTCAAATCTGCCCAGTCCTCCATGGACCTGCTGGAGGTGGCCAGTCTGGGTACCTCTCCTAGGCTGGGTTGCCCCACTGACCCAGGGACCCAAGGCTGCCCTCTTGTTGCCTCCACCTCCCTCCCCCAGTTATCACTAAAATCAATCTTAGTATCCATTTTCTTACCAGTCTAACTTAGAAACCCCTCTCCCCCTGAAATACATTAACTTTATTGTTGGGGACTGAAGGTATTTATTAAATGTTAAAATTAATCTCAACAACAATCCCAAGATAACATTACTATTTGTATTTCTCTAAAGCCTTTCTAATTTTACGTTATCTTCTGTTTGTTTACTTTAAACTGCCTTGGATAAGGCTTTGAAAATTTATAATTCCTTTAGTGGTTCCTTCTCTTAATGTTTGCTTATTTCTCTGCCACTAATCCCAACACTGTTCCTGCAATTAACAAGCTAATTATATATTCTTGTTTCATATAGGTACTTTATTCCCCCTCCTACATATATACTTATCTTCTATATATATAAAAGGCTAATATGCTAAGTGGCCCTCCTACTGTGAGACCAGTCCCTAGGATGCGCACTGACCACAGCAGTGGGCAGACGCTCAACACAGGAGCTGCCAAGCTGCAGTGACTTGGCAGCAGCTGTTCTTGGGTGACACACACCGAAACCAGAGAGGAGGGAGCCCAGTTCCTTGCGGGGCCACACGATTCCACCTTCGGCCATGGGTTATGTTGTTGCTGGGGCACTGTCAGCCCCAAATCTGGTTTACTGCACACTTGTGTTTGCATTCCACACCCTGTACAACAGCAACTTTGTAGAGTGCCCTCTCACACTCCAGGACCCCTCGGGGGATGTCAGAGAGCTGTTTTAGCCTAATTCTGGCAGGCCAGGCCTAGGGACCCCACCTGCCAGAGGGACCCTGCTCACTCCGCAGATGCTGCGGAGGGACTGCAGGAGGTTGGCTCCAGGGTGCGGCCTCTCACCCAGTCCCATCCCTCCAGTCACCTTCTAATTAATTTCCTTTCAATGTGCACGAATCTGTGCAACAGGTCACTAGTATATTTATAATTCAGTTTTTAACCATAAACATTAATGATCTTACTAGAAGGAATTAATTTCAAAATAGGGGGTTCTTTCTATGGCTTAGGTAGAAAGCTTGCAGAAAATTAATTTCCTATCCGCATGTAGAAAGCTCTGCTCTTCCATCTCTGTATATTTAGCAAGAAATCAGTTGTGTTTCTGCCTGATGTTGTCTTCCTCTAGAACTATTTGAACTTTTGTTCTTCAGTTCTCTCAAATAGGGATGCTTATTAGGTTATTATTGAGAAATGTTAACACAAAACTGTATATTGGGTGACCAGCAGCAGAGTTTTAAGATCATATATATTGTTTTGTTAACAGAGATAAATGATTTTGGTTTTTCTACAGCTTTCCCAGGCAGCAGCCAGCATTGAGAACAGGGTACCCACTCCATCTTCAGTGGCCAGTGCTGAAACCAACTCCCAGCAGCCAGGACCAGAAATACCAATGCTGGAAATGAAGACTGAGGTCAAGACCGAGGACACCGAGCCAGATGCCAGTGAATCCAAGGGGGAACCTGCGTCTGCGGTAGGTGCCAGGGATCCATCATGGATGTACCTGCTTTTTGTTTTTTTGGTGTGACTTTTTATTTGTTTGTTTGTTTTGTTAATCCTCATTTGAGGATATTTTTTCCATTGAGGTGTTGTTGTTTTTTTTGTTGTTTTTTTAGAGAGGTGGAAGGGATGGGGAGAAACAAAGAGAAACATCTGCGTGAGAGAGACATGTTGATTGGTTGCCTCCAGCATGCTGCAACCAGGGCCGTGATCAAGCCTTATGTGCCCTTGACCAGAACCGCATCTGTGACCCTTCAGTCCATGGGCCAATGCTCTAACCACTGAGCAACTGGCCAGGGCCTTGCTTTTTATTTTAATAACCTCTTTAATCTACTTGCTACTCAAACCCATAATCAAAAACAGATTGGTTATTTATTTTTAGATATAGGTATGGGGTTTTTTGTCTTGTTTTTTGTTGGTTTTTTTGCCAGAAATGAAGAGCACTAGCTTATATTTTACTTCATTTATTTTTTTTAATGCAAAGCTTGGGGATGAGGGGACAATGGGGGATAAGGACACATATATACTAGTAATACCTTAATAAAGAAAAAAAATTACATGAACAAAAAAAATGCAAAGCTTGGGAAAACACTGTTTTTGGAAACCAGTGTTTTTCAAACAGAAATTGTAAAAATAATCTTTTACAGATTTCCTTTTAAAGAGCCCTAGCCGGTTTGGCTCAGCGGATAGAGCATTGATCTGTGGACTGAAGGGTCCCAGGTTTGATTCTGGTCAGGGCACATGCCCGGGTTGCGGGCTCGATCCCCAGTTGGGGGCATGCAGGAGGCAGCCGATCAATGATTCTCTCTCATCATTGATGTTTTATCTCTCCCTCTCCCTTCCTCTCTAAAATCAATAAAAATATTTTAAATAAATAAATATACTGTGTATTCTTCCCCTCTTCATCCTCCTACTCCCTCCCTTTTGGCAACTGTCGGCTTATTCTCTATATCGATGGGTCTGTTTGTGTTTTGTTTTATTTTTTATTTATTTTGTTTTTTAGATTCATGTATAAGTGAGATACTGTATTTATCCTTGTCTGGCTTATTTCACTTAGCATAATAACCTATAGGTCTGTCCATGTTGTCAGAAATGGCAAGATATCATTCTTTTTTATTGTGTGTGTGTGTGTGTGTGTGTGTGTGTATAACACATATTATATATATCACATCTTTATCTATTTCTCTGTTGATGGACATCTGGTTTACTTCCATATCTTAGTTCTTGTAAATAATTCGGCAGGGAACATACAGGGGCATATACTTTTTTGAATTAGTGTTTATAATTTTTTCAAATAAATACCCAGAAGTGGAATTGCTGGATCATATGGTAGCTCTATTTTTAATTTTCTTTTTTTTTTTTTTTGAGGAAGCTCCTCACTGTTTCTCATAGTGACTACACTAATTTATAATCCTACCAACAGTGTACAATGGTTCCCTTTTCTCCACATCCTCACCAATACATCTGACAGGTGTGAAGTGATATCTCATTGTGGTTTTAGTGTGCATTTTCCTGGCAATTAGTGATGTTGAGCATCTTTTCATGTCTATTGGCCGTCTGTATGTCCTCTTTAGAGAAATGGCTACTCAGGTTCTCTTCCTATTTTTAAATTGGATTACTTGTTTTTTCTTATTTTTTCTTTTGTATCCCTTTGCTCGAGAAGATATATCCAAAAAGATATTGCTAAGATCTATGGCGAAGAGTATACTGCCTATGTTTTCTTCTAGGACTTTTATGGTTTCAGGTATAACATTTAAGTCTTTAATCCATTTTGAGTTTATTTTTATATATGATATAAGAAAGTGGTCCAATTTCATATTTTCCATTTATCTGTATAGTTTTGTCAGCACCACTTATTGAAGAAACTGTCTTTACCCAATTGTATATCCTTGCCTCCTTTGTCATAGATTAATTGACCTTATAAGCAAGGAATTTTTTCTGTATTCTCTATTCTATTCCATGAATCTGTATCTTTTTTTTTTTATGCCAGTATCATACTGTTTTGATTATTGTAGCTTTGTAGTATAGTTTGATATTGGGGAGCGTAATACCTCCTACTTTGTTCTTTCTCAAGATTTCTTTGGCTCTTAAGAAATAGTTCCATATAAATTTTAGGATTAGTTCTAATGCTGAGAAGAATGCCATTGGTATTTTGATAGGGATTGCATAGGATCTGTATATTACTTTAGGTAGCAAGGACATTTTAACAATATTAATTCTTTCAGTCTATGAGCAAGGTATATCCT